ACATACATACATACATACATACATACATACATACATACATTTCCAGAGCTTCATTGATTTGAAGAGCCGTGAAAAAGAACAGTTGTATATAGTGCAACCCAATGGTGCCATCTTGTACCTAAATAAATACTGCACAAAATGGATCGAACAGCAAATTTCCATCCCTCGCCTGAAATGCACATCTCCAATCTTCAAGGACAGAGAAGGACAAGTATACCTAGAACCTGAATGATCTCTATCTATTTGGGACCACCAACCACCCAAAACATGGTCCAACTTCCGAAGAAACAACAAAAACGTCTGCCCACGGGTCATGTCTGGGTTCCGGTGTGTTCTCGCCGATCGACCCCCCCCAGAGCCGGAACAACGCGGGCGCGCTCCACCGGCTCCACCTCGCTTCGAGGTATCACACGGCGGTGTTAAGCACCGGTGGTGGGGGGCACCCAGCAGGGCGTTTTCTTTGGTTGGGCGACCGGCTTCGGGTGTCTCTAGGGTGTGGAAAAGTCAAAACGAGATAGTCCTTGAGATTCTTCAAGAACTAATTGTGCGGATGTTTTACAAAATGATTAATATTATGGTTCTACACACAACATATCCCCAAAAATGGTTCTATGATATTTGTTCAGAATGAATCTTTTGACATGTGTGTTTTGACATGTACATTTTTTTTTCAGAGTTGTTCCTTACTATATATGTTTCCTTTTTCATCATTCTTTTTGGATACACATCATCTATGAATATCCCCGCCCAGGCGCCGCTTTCACCTTTGGCGACGGACTCTCGGGGCAGCTGGGGCGCCGGCCCGAGGAAGGCAGCGAAGGCGGGGAAGGTGAGGACTGGGAGACTCCAGGCTAGCAACAGGAAGCTCCTAGCTAGGACGCAGGATAGCTCGCACTAATGATATGATTCCTATATAGTTCCTATATATATTTTTTGGAACTTAAACTTTATGTTATTTTGACATATATTGACCAAACTTCGACGGGGTAAGACAGGAAGATTCAGATCCGGGACGTCGCTTAACTCTTCCGTTTTTCACGTCGCAACAAACTGGGTGCCGTTTTGGGTTTGATGGGAAAAGTGCGGCATTTGGGGCGAAAAACTTTCGAGCGGGTTATGATGTACATTCCATGTGCTTGCATGGATTGTCCACATCAAATCCGTGGACAAACACGTTCTCGCAATTGCTCGCATGCCTTGGCCTTCCATTCTTTCGGAACGACGACCAGAAACATGCATCGAACTCCGCATTCAAGAAGATATAAAAACCTCTGTCTCCTCCAATCCAGTCGGTGGTGTCTCGTCATCGTCGTCATCTTCGTCGCTGTACATACTGAGACCTACCTGGAACTGGAAAAGCGTTTTCTCGAGGAAACCCATTTGGACACAATACTGCAAGAGGGGCAGGGACAGTCCACACCACTGCGACGGACGGGTCCCTGTCTCTGGCGGTGCAAGAAGAACTTCAATGGTTCGCTGCGACCAGCAGTGCGATCCATGAAGGTTTGGTGTGCCCATGATCCACACTGAGGGACTCAACACCACCCCGAGCTCTGTGACGCTTCGAGGTGTCAACAAGGGTCTGTCGGGTGATTCAGGCAGTCAAACCAGGGCGCCCCGAAGACGATTCGAGGTGATTTCTGGAAGTCCACCACCCCAACCACAGTCAGTCCATGACCGTCCAAACCCCGTCCTTGTCGTCTGTCCGGTTCGGTAACGGACCGGAGCTCGTGTGTCGTCGGAAGCCGCTGGTGTTCGGCTTCACCGAAGAGTGTCGGTTTAGAGGTCGTTGTCTCGGATGCACTGAATTCCAGCCAGCGGATTGTTTGGTGGTCTTACGTGAAGAGTTCAGTTAGTTTGAAACTTGCGACCTCGGTGGTTTGCTAGGTGACACTGTTTGATAGGTAAAGACGAGTCTGATTGGTTATAGGTTATAGATGGCTTATCATTTATAAGAGTGTATATATATTATATATATAATACATGTATATACTTTGCCCCAATGAATGTGTATGTAGCTGCGGCATTGTGCGAGTCTACGGCAGGTCCACAAAACCGGATGGTTTTTGGTCGTTGTGTACAGAATCTCATCCTTTGCGTCTGTCCGAACTGACCTGTAACAGTCAGTAAACAAGAACATCACTATTTTCGAACAAGGCCTGCAACTGAACCACCATCATCCACGAATAGTCCCTGCGTGTCTGGGATAGACCCAACTCATCCGAATTTTGACCGGTCGTTTTCGGCGCGAATCGAAACGCGCTTTCGGATTTCCGCAGGTTGGAAGCCGACCCAAGTCACGGCCTTTCCGGAGGGTGTGCAAAGCAGCCTACTGGTTCAGGCTGTTTCTGGAGCAGTTTGAGAGGCTGAGATCAAGAATTGCCTTGCATTGGCATCCATGCTTCCACTTTTTATCCTTGGGAGGGATCTACCCCGTAGCATAGCCACTCGCATAGCCAAGACCCAAGTCGATTGAGAACCATTTAGCAGTTGCACTTCCCTATCCTGTCAAAGCCATGACTCTTTAGCTGTCAAAGCCGTTTGGTGCATGACCCCCGATCTGTGGAACCCGTGCGGAACCCGGTCGCCGTGGAAGAAAACACCGGCTTCTTCGAACGAAGCGGCTACGCCCTCGAAGCCAGGTGGCGTGTGGAGACGACCACACGATCTGCCTCACAGAGTTCGGGCAACTACTCACCTTCGGCGGAGGAGCGGAGTAGGAGGGATGAAGATGGCGCCTGTTGATCGGGTGGATGTTGGATGATGTTGGCTGTCTTCTGTTTCTTTCAAAAGATGATAGTTCTTAAGCGCCATTCGAGTTGCACTGTCTATACTGCCTATAGGTGCGCGCGAGAGAGAGAGAGAGAGAGTCTGCCAAGACGAGACCCTGAAGGTGGTGGAAGTTGCGACCGACCGGAGAGCCGAAATCGAAATTCTTGCCAAACCTTTGGGGGTGTTGTTTCTGCCTTTTCAGATGCACATTCTCCGGCACAAGCCCGGAGCATGGAATTGACCCAACTGGTTAGAATTTGTTTCGGTCATGGAATTCAAGACCTCACAACACCCTCCCACTAGGAAGGGGTTTGGGTTTAGCAGTTGAAGTGCGGACTTGGTGAAGTGTTTTCCCAGCGACATGGGTTGTCTCACTTCACAGAGCCAGATTTGCGGTCCTCGTACCAGGTTTTTCCGTTCCAAAGATTCCGTCGTCGCTCCCCCCGCTCATCCCTCGAACTTGACACATTGACATCTTGGTGAATCGGGTGGTGGACCTGAGACATCTTGACGCGTCATCGAGGTGAGCAGGGCCAGCTGTGCATGGGAGGTGTGGAGCGGTCGAAGAGTGACAGTCCAGGCTGTGAGAATGCCTTGAGACCCGTTCAAGTGGGTGGACATTCCAACAGAGGTTGAGTCAACCTGAACGTTCGGATCCTGTAGTGGTACATATGGGATGGGCTAGGATGGGCTGTTCAACCTCTCTTGGTTCCCAAGAAGTGGGGATTGAACAACGAGAATGAGCCCGCCGTATGGAACAGCCACTTGCAAGGACAGAAGATCCCATCATCGGGTAGAGTCAATGGAACCATGGAACCTGATATTAGACCCCTGGCCCAATTGAAGATTGCCCATTCCTCCACAAAGCAACACCTGTAAATCATTGTAAACCCAAGCAACCAGAAACAAATGGTTGTTCCGAGATGGCAATTGAGATCCCGACCATGACCCCCACACATTATTATTCCATGTGCCAGCCACCAGGCTGCCGTAGCCATCGCCTGCCAGCTCTGGTGCGGCAAATGCATGGTGTGCGGGAGGCCGGCGTGATGTTCAGAGGCTTTTTTGCTGGTTTGTTGCTTTTCAATGAGGAAAGCATGGGACATCCCTGAAAACCCGCCCAAAAAATTCATTCGGAGGGCCCCACCCCACCCCAGGACGCACCAAGAATCTACATTGTGATCCCTGGAGGGCAGTCTCACCATCCTGAGATGGCTTGATCTTCATCCCCTTCAAACCATGAACCCATAGGGTGTCCAATGATCCTACTGGAACTCATCAAGAACCATATATAGAGAAAAGATGAGTAATCCCGAGTACCGAGTACCTATTTCAAAACACTACCCATGCTGGAGACCCTAAATACAGTTTATGTTTGTAAAACTACTTCCTAAAACAAACACATCTACAAAGTATAAAAAATAACGTTTCATTGGAAAGAGCCTGTTTTCAAAAATTAACAAAAGCAAAAAACAAGTCAAAAAAGTCAATCCCAAAAGTCAAAGTCAAAACATAGTTAAATCAGAAAGTTTCAGAAAGTAAAAACAGCCAATTTGCCCAGATCCGACTTTTTTCCGACTTTTTTTTTGACTTTTTATCGATGTTTTTTAATATATATATATATTTTTTAAAACGACTTTTTTTTCCGATTGTTTGTTTTTCGACCTTTTTTTTGACTTTTCGAGTGGTTGACCTTTTTTGTATGTTTTTTTTTTTTTAATTAAACTTTTTTACTATTTTTTCTCTTTTTCGAGTTGTTTTTTGAATTTGACATTTTTTTGATTGTTTTTTCTTTTTTCGACTTGTTTGACTTTTCTTTTTGCTTTTTCGAGTTGTGGTCTATGGTTGACTTTTTTCGACTTTCTTTTTTGACTTCTTTTTTGACTTTTAAATTTGACTTTTTGTTTGATTTTGACTTTTCCAGTTGACTTTTTTCTTGACGTTTTTTTTCGACTTTTTAAAAATCAAGGATTCAGGCCTTACCATATGAAAGTTTTTTTAAAAATACATCTACAAACAAACAACATCTACAAACAACATATTTATGTTGGAAGATGTTAGAAGAAACAGTAGGTACCCACCCTCTAGAAACACCACCAATGGTGCCCCTCACTGGCGCCACGCAAACGCACTTCTTTCCACCAAGGCCGCGCAAACAGCATGGCAAAGTGACATCACCTTTCGAAATCTTTACTTGTTAGTTTGCAGACGAAAAGTTTACAAGGGAAAGATATCAAAACATCATTATTTTAATAAAGGGTTTTTGTAAAGGGAAAGCCCTTCGATCTTTGAGTTTATTATTATTTATTTTTGCAATTTTGATACGAGTTTAATAAAGGATTTTACATTGCAGGTCTCCTATTTTGGGGACCCCTACTAACAAAAACGATGCTGGAGTCTTTTCATTAGGGATGGAGGGGGGCGTGTTTTTGAAGAGGTGGAAGGGATTAGAGATGTCAAGTGAACCGTTCTCCGAATTCGCTTTCGCCCTCGCGAACGGTCCATCCTCGGACCGATGCTGCCGGAATCGCCGGAACGAAGTGGCCCACGGATCGCCACGGTGCCGTGCCACCGAATTGACCAAGAGCTGACCTGGTGAGTTTCGGAGACGTTGAGGTTTATCCTGTTTCAAGACCTCTGACAGTCTGACCAATACTTGCTTAAGTGAGTTGAGGCCACCAACCAGAAAACCATTTGCTCGCGAGGTGACGATGAAGCTGCCGCAAAAATTGCCGGTGGTACGCGGTTCATGTCGCGACCGACTGAAACTCGATGGAGTAGTTGATATCGTTTACGGATGGTAAGGGGAGATGTCAGTGGACTAAGCCTCTTCATTTTCTTGATGCCTAGCGGCTCTGAGGTTTGCTCCAACCACAGCTCTTCATCATATCAAAAGATATATAATATAACGACTATATAATAATTACTATATAATATACCCGTTGCTACCGACAATCCAAAATGGGTGTGGTTAAGCATGCTTTTATCTTTTTAAGTTGTTCATTTAGTATAAGAACAACACAACATGACCTTTGTATAATTTTGTTGGAAGGTAAATAATTTTGTTGGAAGGTAAAAGGTTTGCTCAATCAAACTATACTGTATATTTTGAAGCCAGATTTTCCAGACCCATTTTAGATATCTCATTCAACCAAGACATTTTTTGAACTTAAGGACTTGAAACACCTTTGTTCTGTTACAATTTCAAAAAACGACAATTGAATAAACTGAGCGTGCATCCACCTCTATTCTTGGTAGCAAAGGGGATGTTGATTCGGATCTATGGGCAACCAACGATACCAAACGCTTTGAGCTCAGAAAAGCCAAATCCACCATCGACGACCAGGTCGTGGCTGGCGGCCATTGGACCTTGCTCCGCTGCGGCGAACGGAAGGCGAGAAACGACACCGGCTGATCCCGGCAGTGAGGGAGATGCTCATTCCAAAACTTCTAGTCTAGGTTTCTAGTCATTCCGACATGGATACACCCCAGATTTGGAAAAAGCCTTTAAGAAGACAGTTCCCCCAAAGTAGCAGCCTTTTAGAGGTTCGGGCAGAAAAAAAACAATGCCTACACTGGTGCTTTATCTCTAAGTTTCAGCCGACACTGAAGGCCGCAAGGCCGCAAGGATGCTTTGTGTTCATCATCATTGCACGTCTGTGATTTTTTTAAGACAGTGTGTTCGGAAAAGGCGTCTTGTCACGCGGCAAAAAGGCTTTCTTTTTTTGTCACGTGGCCCCAAAAAGGGTTTCCAGAAGACTGAAGACCACAACTTTCACACTATATAGATCGAATCAAGGTTTGGGCATTTGGAATGTACTATGTTGAGCCAAACCGTCAAAATCCAAGAAGGCAGAAAAGATACAAAAGGCGGTTCTCAGTGAGAAGGCTCATAAAGCCTTTAAAGACTCGGGCTGAAATAAACACCTGCGCAAGATCTATAGGTATAGGATAGTATATATAGGTATCAAGTTTTGGCTCAAAGTTATTGAAAACAAACACAAACACATTTTCTATATCCTCAGATTCAGATTACCAACAGTCTTGTGCTTCAAACAATATAGCGTAGACCTCTGATATAGTTTCTGATTGTAGCCAATCCCATGCAAATGGAATATTGGTTGTAGTGATTTCAGAGTGAATCACACAGTCAACCACCAGTTGGGTGGTTGATAAGACCTCTCATCTAAACAGAGGCTGTTGGGTTTGTACCATAAAACCCGAAACAGCCAAGGATCCCTCACCCGAAACGCCAGCTTCGCCATCCATTGCACTGGCTTCATCGTGCAGACGGTTGGGCGGGTGTAATCCAAAAGATGGGACAAATCGAAAGAACGTCCAAGAACCCAAGGGTTACATGGGTCCATTTTAACCACCTCTTGGTGATTGTGCCATCTACTCTGAAACCACTGTAGATTCCACAAAAAAATCTAGAGCCTCAGAGCGGGTTGATTCCGCGTTCGGTGGGTCCATGGACAGACGATCTTCCAGATAGAAACAGGCCTTCTTTTTTTCCACGTGCGTTATACCATGTATCACCAGGCTGATGTTTTCGTCTTTTCGTGCGGGCTCAAAGAGGTCTTCTTCGCCGGTCGCCCCACCCTGCGCGAAGGCAGGCGGACCACCGGCGGTGTCACCGATGTTTCGTGAGCGACGGAGGGTTTGTTGTGATGAAAGCTGGTCGATGGCAGCATAGTGACCGGTCCCCAGATAGTGGCATGCATTCCAAAGCATTTTTAGTGTGGATCGACTTGTCTATTTATCTATTTAGGGGTCTATATAATAACCAGATTGAGTACAGTCATGGCAAACAGTGGGTTCACTTTGGTAGCTTTGAATCGGGAGCTTCATGGGGCTCCAAAAAATGCAATCCTGACAACCCTGCATATTCCAGGTGGTTGGTTTGTGTGCATCCAGGCTTGTTTGCACCGAAGGGTGAACTGCTCAGCTGCAGATTTTCCGGCTTAATTAACACATTCTCCTCTGAAGTTATGCAACCAGGTACCTGGCTTACCGCCAAAAGCATTCGGTGAATCAGTGAACCAGGACCTTTTCGGAACCGTCACTCGTGCTTTGCTTCGCCGTGCCCGAAACGGCTTTCAGCCGTCACTCGTGAGCCGAGGTCACTCCGAAGAGGAGGCACCTCCGATCGTCCACGATGACAGGTTGATGCGGTGTGCCCATGGGTCCCGGTGGGGTCCCGGTGAATCAAGTTCCTGTGCGATGGGGGTACCACGGCAGAGTCGTACCAAGACTGCGCCGGTTGGGCTTATTGGGGCCGAGCTCGGAGCTCGGTGCTCGGTGCTCGTTTGATGTGTGCGATGGTGCCAAGTGAGCCGACTTCGGTCGCTCGGTGCTCGTTCCGACTCGAGCCTCGCAGAACTGTGTTGCATCGGTGAGAGGACTGCGCGATGCGTGAGAGGACGGCATCCTGGGGGTTCACACCGATCCTTTTTTGAGAGAGAGAGAGAGATACGTGTAATGACGTAGATTTCAGCACCTCAGTGAATCCTCGTTGCACATGGTCTTGAGCATTGTTTCCCGATTCTGTAGGATCACACCCCTCGGCTTCCAAAAGGAACAACCGGATGAACCATGTGGGACTTAAGCCGAGCATGTGGGACCCTGCCTAACCAACGGCACAGCCGGTTTCTTTCCAACAGAGGTTAAGTGACCTGAACTAGGACCCTACCAGGGTACCGGACTGGGATAGCCTAGTTCGGGTTCTTCAACCTCTGTTTCTTTTGTAAAGGCCCCATGTGGGGATCCAAGCCGAAGACGCCCAGAGGAATCGATGTCCAGCTCGTCTCAGGCCGTGGATCATCGACTCCTCAGGCGATGTGTGGTGTGGCTGCCGGGGGTGGCCCGCGGGGTCCCGCGGGGTCCAGAGCTTTCTTGGCAGGTTGAAAGCATTGGGCCCTGCTAGGGTCTGAACTGGAAATGGGGTCTCAAGTCATCTGAACTCCAGAATGAGGCCTATAGGTAGGGTGCGGCCCATTACCAGCAATAGTCGGTCAAGGATGATCACTTTGCTTGAGAAAGGCCTGCAACCTACTAACCATTGTCATCCACTGTTACTGGTAATGGGATATACCCCGAGCTGCGGTGGAGTCCTAGGGAGACTGCAGACACCCCAAGAATTGGCATGGACGAGTGAATCGGAAGAGGGCCTCCTGCTCGCGCCGGTGAGCTCTGACCTCGCCTTCTTGACCGGCCGCCTCTCGGTGAGGGGACATCTTCCCACACGACAGCCCCAGCTTCGGAGGGGTATGTATCCTATGTATAGACTTGGTTTTGCTTAGGGATGAGGTTCTTTTCCCTCTGGGCCTATGTGGTTTTTCCAGTTCCTGGACTTCAAGAAGATGTTTTCGCCTGGAAAGAGGAGCGCCAAATTAGGACGGGCCGCGTCATTGTTTTCCTTCTCGCCTGAAGGGGTTTCGGTTCGTGTTGTGAAGCCGATTTGCTCGACCCTGCATGTATTGCTGTGAAACAACCGAGCAGATCCAATCGTGGCAGGCAAGTCGTGGCCTGAGGGTGATATTTTGTCGACCGAGTCTGTGAGGAAATGCGCGAGACATGGCATGTTTCAGCGAAGTGGAAGGGTTGCTCACTAAGTAAGGGATACTAAGTAAGGGATGCAGATCTAGGGAAGAAAGATTGGTACAATCTGTGCTTGGTACATATGTTGTGTGTGCTGAGAGTCATGAGCCTGTTGCGTGATATGCCCAACTTATCGCTTGTATCACTGTGTCACTCACGTTTTATAGACCACGTTAAAACTCCTCAGAAGGGGGCTTCGGCATCCATTTGGTTGACACTCAGCCTATCTCAGTCTCAGCTTTTTCTCCCAGATCTAGTTTTTTCGGGAACAACTGACCACAGAGCAACGCGGTGTGTTTGCATTCCAATGATTAAATTATCCCCGCGCCCATGAACACTTTGACCTGAAAGGCAGAAGCTGTCAACAGGACGGCTGCGGCAAAGTTCCGCTCAGGCAATGTCTATAATAGATGTGATTGGAACCTGCATGTCTTCGTGGGTAGCAACACCGAATAAAACCTCTAATGGGGTGGTTGATAGAGACGAGCTGCAGGAAAAACCCAGAAAAAGTTCTACAAGCCAACGTAGAACAGAAGACGCTGCTTGGCGATGCGTTGCATCCGCTCAAATCCATATGAATCCTATAATAATGATGACCGCGGAGATCGATATTTCCCTGCAATCGCTTCCGTCTATCCAAACATGAAAGTGGAACACTAGGCTACTAGTATAGCAATGGCGGAAGACTTAATCAGTGCAAATCTCTCTTGGTTAGAAAGTCCGATTTTAGACCCAGCCAGATTGTAGTAATAGAAGCCCAGCCCACCAGGCAGTCCCACATGAGTTTTGGTTTTCTTGAGGCTTGGGAGAAGACGAAGTCAGGACACCGGTTCGTGCAAGTCAGGACATCGTTTTGACAAAGTCACCAACTGCAGATTCCAAGAGCATGAGCGATGGTCTTCCAAAAGGAAGCACACCATGTATCATGATGGCCTTGTTTGAAGGCGAAAAGAGCAATTCTAGAAGGGACCAGTAGGGCCAAGGGACTCGGAATCTGGGGCTCCGGACTCCAAGGTCTAAATCATGATAATCAGCTCCTGGACCTGGCCGCACCTCCTGGGACCTGGAGGAGGTCTTTGGGGGTCCAAGTTCACTGGGAGAGTTTGTAGCTCAGCTGGTCGTTGATGGCGAATTCACCCGTGTTCTGCATGGGGCTGGGTGAAGACGGTGAAGGTGTTGTTGATGTCCTCCAGATCGAGAAGACTTGTGGGTAGAATCATTACATCATCATACATCATCTAGAGTAAAATCTTGGAGGTTGTTTCGACCACTTTTGGGCGCTTCCACTTCCTACAATTCCATGTCCACTCAAATCTCATGAGATTCTGGAGACGCTCAAGATCTGCCAAGACACCCTGGGATCCGGGTAGAATGTTCTCCATCACCTCCACGTTTGGTTGTTGTTTGTGACGCTCCCTTTGCTTTGTGGGAGCTTCGAGTTGGGCCCCCTCACTCTTCCTCGTGTTCTGCAGCTGCTTTTAGCTTGTAGCCGAAGAAAGCAGGCCAAGGGATGAATCAAGACAACCTGCTCATCATCAACCTGCACTTCCAGCTTCACAGGATCTGATCTGGCGAGGGGAAGCAACAAGGAGGATACATGGGTTCCTTACGTGACAACCTCACCTTTATAGTTCAAGAAGGACCTTCATGAAGGTTCAAGAAGGACCTTCATGAAGGGATCGAGCTGGGGGTTTTGCGCCCTACGACTTGTTCCTTTACCAGCCCACCGGTGCAAGAGACCGGACCCACCGGAAAGCCCCCCGAGTCACTGTGCCGCGCGATGGAGGCAGATCTTCAGGCGATGTTTGGTGGTGTAGCCATGCCTTCGGATTGGTGTAGCTGTGCTTGGAGCTCCGGCAGATCTGAGCTCTTGAAGAACTATGACTCGAACATGGGTGAGGAAGCCTTTGACCATTGAATTTACACCCCAATTCTGAGAGTTTATCAGCTGTATCAGGGTTTGCCGGGAGTATTCCAGCGTGTCATGTGTGTAGTGGTGCGCATTTGGGTGCCTTTCTCATCGGTTGGTTGCTGCTCTTTGTTTTAGCACGTCGCTTTCAAGCTGAGTGTGAACCAAACAGACCAAAATATACGAGTGGCGTCCACAATGTGATTTCTTGGAACCTTCACTCCTGTTTTGGAATAGCCATTCCTTCAGTTGCACCCATTTTTGAGGTCCAGAATTCCGGATCATCATCCGGACGCCACCAAAGACCTCAGACCATAGACTGGACCGGAGAACATTGGACCGGACGTTACCTACCATCGGCCGCTTCCGACCTATGGAAGTACCAATCCCGATCCAAAGAGTAGACACGAACCTGAGGCTACGACGATGCGACGTTGGTTTCTTTGGAATAGACCTTTGAAGCAAATGGAATTCAATGCATTGAATGATAAGGACTTCCTGGACCGATGAGGGCGACATACTCCGTAAAGCGAGTTGGAGCTGTTGTTGTTGTTGTTGTTGTTGTGGGTGGTTGTTCAGTCCTATTTCTATTTCTTGCTGTTTTCATTGCGTCGTTTTTCCGTGTTACATCTCAGCCCAGTGCTGTCCCACAGTGGTGCATGTCTTGGACGCGCTATGACACGCTGAGCGGCAGGATGGTGAGCAGATCTCTGCGGACATCCCCATGCTGGTGCGCGCGCGATGGCGCGCGCAATGATCACGCCCGATCGCACGTGCGAAGTGGGCTGTTGAGCCGGGCGGTGTCCGATTTGCGATGGTTCGTGGAGCTGGGCATTGTTCTGGTCTTCGGATGCTGTGTCACTTCACTGAAATTTGTCTAGAATGTTTCATGCTCTTGGGCCACCGCAACTGGTTTGGCCACTTTGGTTCCATCAACTAGAGACCTCAGAGACTGCAAGATGTTTTCTTTTCAAGACTTGCATCCGTTTCGGCCACCATTGTTCTCAGAGACGTGGGCCTTTCGCTCTCCAGCTTCGCCAGCGCATCATGCTGGCCTGTGCTGTGATCCTCTTGGAAGCCCTTGTGGCCAGATTTTTGGAGCCCGGGGCCCCAGGGCCGTCCCCCACGGGTCTTCCGTTTCACGGAGGAAGACGTGGTTCTAGGCGCCATCTGGGTGCGATCTTTCGGGCAACGGCTGTGATGCGATGAGAGCAACTGGTGACGGAGGTACCCTGCCCCGACGGGCGTCGTGGATGAACGCCCTTGGTTGACGTCAGTGAGAACGGAAGTTCTGGGAGATTACATGCCCGGTCCAGTTTCCGGGATGACACCCAAGTAAATTCAAGACAAGGCTTGAAACCTTTTGACACCATTGGAAATTGGATGAAGTTGCTCCAACACGTGCAAGAGACATGAATGTGGCGACATGAATGTGGCGACTGATGGTTGTGGGCGATTGCCGGTGTTCACTTTTGAGTGATTTTGAATGTGGATTTCGAGTGACCCTCCAACCCCGGAAGCTTCGACGAGGAAGCGTGCACACGGTCTAAGCCCATTTGGGGGGTCTCCACACTGCATCGTGAAAAACGGGTCTTCTGCCAACATTGGACATCCTGAAGATCCCAGATTGGAATTGTTGGGAGCCACATGGAGCCACGAGAACAGTCTGAGAAGTCCTTGATTCGTAGTGTCACTAAAGCTCGCTGGTTTAGGTAACATGAGCATCCAAACAGATTCCTCATGCTTAACCAATTGAGTAGATGCTTGGTACATACTATCTTCATCTATCTTCCTATCCACAGCGGTTTCACTTCCCTCGCTTTCTCGGCCTCTGAGGCTGGGGAATGCAGATCAACTCTTGATCTCTGGAGCTGGGGCCTTACATATCTTACATATTGTTTTGGCTTTCGTTGATCGTGGTGGGAACGAGTTCCACCGCGGTTTGGTTTTCGATTCTTGATTCAGGGCAGTACGACGGTACGACGTCCGCCGGTACGCGTTTTGGTTCACTGGTCTTCCCGACCCACCGAGATCCCGAGTCGGCCATGCGGGCCATGCGGGTCGACTCCTGGTAGACTTGGGGTTGTCACAGCCATGTAATAAGTCAACTGAAGAATAAGTTGCCAGAAGAATCTCTTCTGACTGCAAGAAACAAAAGAAACAACAATCAATCATCATCAAACCATTTGGTTGTTTTTTGGGGGAACACCAGAGCTATCAAGAGTTCCAACACTCCCCATATTGCTGTGGTTCCATCAGGTTTCGTCTTTACCTCCAACGATTGGCATCGCTTGCTTCTGCCCTCCACTACCCAACGCGGCGCCGTCAACGAACGGGACGACCAGCTGGTCGACGCCGCAGCTGTCTCAGGTGAGATGCTTCGTTCAACTGTCGGGTGGGGGGGCGCCGGGCGCGAAGCGCAAGCAGCCCGGGAGGATGATCATTGACAGAAGACACACGTGAGCCACAAGCGAGCGATTGACTGAAGACATTGATTCGTAGCTTATTTGTGACTATGACACACATTGATGGAAAACAGAGAATGGATGCTGTACACATCCAGCATCAAGGCTTGATTCTTGGTGGAAGCGATTTCTGTCCTCCCCAAATACTGGGACCATGGGCTGACAATTGGCCGAACAACACACGGAGTCCCTGTTTCGGAGTCCTGCCTGTTCCGTGCCAGTGCTGGGCTTCATCCTGGCTCCCATCTTTGAGCTCCAGTCCCCAAGGACCAGTGTGCTTACCACGCGCGTGGAACACACTGGTGTTTTTGGACGGGAAGGGCACACCAATGTGGTAGATTTCCTGCCGGGGTGAAGGAAAATAAGGTATAAGATGACCTGAGGTTGCTTGTAGCTAAAGTCAAAAATCTCACCCAGTGGCCTAGGCCTGGGGAAGCTGTTTCACATGCGAACATTGACTCTTAAAGGCACTTAAAGCCTTCAAGCTCGGCTCTGACCTCCGCAGGTGCACCTGAATCCTTCACTCCATCGCCGTATACCGCACTCTGATGACCTTGCTATCATAGCCAGGAACAGTGGATAACCTCCAGGAGTCACAAGACGGGGTGGTGTTTAGTCCCATCCAGTGAGTGGAGTAGCTGGGCACCCTTAACCTCCATTAAGCACCCCTTTGTGACTGCTGGCTGAGAAACCTTATAGCTTTTCTTCTTTCCAGGATCAAACGGCTGGGGGCTCAGGCGTGGACCACGCATGGATGGATCAAAGGCCTCCCATCGCCCTTGGTCACCACGAAGGAGGGACAATGTCCTCATAAACACTTAATATGCACCCCCCCCCAACCAAGTGACATGTGTTCCATCACCTTTTGGCCCCAACCGGCTACGAGTCCACCAACATGCCCAGCTTGGTCTTGGCGTATGTCTTTGGCTTCATGGTCCTGGTCTCCGCCCATGAAGCAGCTGCACGACCGAAGGTGCAGTGTCCGTGGGCTCGCTCGCCGGGGGAGCTGCCTAATCCCCTCCAACGTCTCAAGAATTGGATCCCCATCCTTCCCCATCCTCGTGCTCTTTGGGTCCGTGGGCTCGCTATAGGGCCGGCAAAGAGGCGTGGCCGCACGTGGTTAAAGGATGTTAAAGGGGGGGTGAAAAGCGATCTCGACCAGGTGACCTACCCGGGCATCTTCTACAAGTCGGTCCTCAGTCTTGGCCGCTCGGAGCCTTCGCCCGCAGCACGGCACGCTGGTCCGAGTCGTGAAACCAACGGAGGGCGGTCAAGGAGCCCTGAAAGGAGGGTCATTCAACCCACACCGGGCTCGGTACCTGGTAGAGTTGACCAAGGAATCGGCGGAATCGGGTGATGGTTCTCGAACGGAGTGAATTCCCTGGCATTGGGACGTGTTTGGTGTTCTCGCGGTTACTGACTTGAGATCCAAGATTGGGTCATGCTTGAACTTGAGGGAGTCTGCAGAAACAAAAAGACCCATGCGTGTTCTGACACCAGTTGGGTGCTGTTGCACGCCTGCTTTTGCAGTACTTCAACTGGTCGTCTCCTGGATATTCATGCATCGTACTTCTCCCGAAAAAACACGGTTCAACACGCCATACATTGCCATACCAGACCAATATAAACCTAATCATGTGTTTGACCTGTTGGGTGATTCAAACCACGGAGGGTCCGGGGTCCCACGCGACGAAACCCCGGACGAAACTTGTTTTGCCGACGCGAAACCGGTTTCGAGGCTCGGCGCTGTTGCTCAGCGGCCTGCTTCTACTCTTCATTGTTCAGCCAGCTGGGGAGCCATGAACGAGGCCCCGGTGTTGGTAGAGGAAAAGGATCGTCCAAGGGTTCCATGTTCTACTTCCATGATGATTCCATAGGGAGTTATAGCCGGAGTTCAAAGGGTTATGAGTTGTGACCGGTCAGCAGAATCCATCAGAATCCCAGTGGTTGCTGTGGTCACGAGACTGTGAAAGAAATAGCAAAGAAGTGAAGCACTGGCATGATGTAGAAAAAGGATTCCGACTTCAATCATCCATTCTCATCCACTTCACTCTATTCCATTCTCACCAAACAAATTCAAAGCACGGAAATGCACTGAATGGTGTGATTCAAGACTTAGACCTTTTAGAATCAGATCCAGATCCAGTGTGCAACAACTCAGTTTAGCGTTTCGCCCGTATCTACATGTCTCTAGGATCCCAAGTTCACACCTTTCCAATGTCCGAGTCGACTGGTGATACACCAAGTCAACTAAAACTACACTCTGATCCACTAACATGGAAGTGAAAAGCCCGCTGTTGGTAGAGGAAAGTCGTCTTCCAAGTGACCATGCCATCCACTTCCATGTGATGTGTTCGTCAGAGGGTAGGGGCAATGTCATGATATCTTGGATCAGTTGCCACGTCTCCCACCGAGCCGTCTGACTGTACCCGGCTCTGCGGACCCAGCCGTCCCGACGTCGGTCGACACGACGTACCGAGGACCCGTGGTACGACGCCCAGTACGTGATCCCTTTGGCGGCGCGAACGACGGGGTCAAGGGTGTGCGGCTGACAGCAGCTTTCACGGAAGGTAGAGGCTCTGAAAAAGCACTTACAGTATGTAAACGGTCTTCAAGTTCTTGCTTGTGTTGCAAGAATAGAAAAGTTAGAAGACACCCTTTGTTGAATCTTTATGTTCTTTGGGAAGAGAGCATTCCCATCTTTTGAGCTTGCATGTCAGGCGCTTTGTTTCTCTCAATAGATCTATATATAGATTGGTCCTGGAGTCCTGCAGCAGATTTTAGAGCTCCAATCCGAGCATGGTGGGCAGTCGGTTGCAGGGCATGCTCATCAACAACAGCCTTTCGGGTGTGGCATTGGCCTTGAATGCCATGATCGATCACCTCCACAACAACAAAGAGCAGGCCTGGTAGGTCTACGGGCTGCGTTTACGCAGCACTGCTCCTGCGTTTTGGTGGATGGAAGTTGAAGAGCTGCACCCCCAAATCGTGGAGAGTAGTGGAAAGTTCTCTTCAGATCGTCTGCATGTTTTTGCGAACGAAGTGAGTATTCAGAACTACAGGGGCTAGCGATGGCCTCCAACCTGTGATTCTACAGTGCAATCGGCTCATGAAATCCTCCAATCATGAATGATTGAACCTTTGCTTGGAATACTATCTGGGTATCTTTGGCACGATGTTTCTAAGTGCTTTCTGTAGGTTCCAAAGTTCTGGGTTCTGCACAAAAGGGACACAACCGTTTGCTCCTGAACTTTCACTCTTGCCATTTTTGCGGTTGTGTTCTACAACACTTCAAGTGGCAGATTACTCACGTATTTGCGCGTGTGAAGCATGGAAGGCCATGTCATGTGCGGACCGAAAAGTGGAATCTAAGAGGGGGACTGTTGCCCAACTTATGCAGAGAAAGCAGCTGTTGGCTTTGTCCACAACATTTGTTGACCTGCTCAAGAACTGGTTTGTCATTCCTTCCCCCCACCGTGGTGTTGAATACTTGCGATATTTTCCAGGGGGTTGTGCAAGTAAGGTTGGACTTCACCAGAGAAGGTGCTGTCGCTTGCTGTTGGGAGAAACTCAACCCAGCGTTGTCGTGTTTCTTGCGCCGCGGCTTATGCCAAGGCAACCTGATTCAGGGTTGTGGAGGGAGACCATGCGGTGGTAAACCCTGGACACTTACCGGTGTTTTTACCTTCTTTGGGTGAGTTTGTGAGAAAACATGGAAGTCTGTGTTTGCGGACGATGGCAATCAGAGCCACATTGCTTATTTTTGCTGCTGGTCTGGTGCTGCTGCTGGTTTGCTGCTGACGAGGGGCTGGTGTCCTGCTGATCTGCTGCTGGCGTGCTGGTGTACTGCAACGCCACTTGTTTGCTGAAGCATGCTTATGGGTCGCTTCGGGCAATGTCTTTGGAGACCTTTGTCGAGGTGCTTTCATTTACAGCCTCTTTTTTCTATTTCTGCTTGGTCAACTGCTGCTTGCTTCTTACCTTGTCCTAGGACCTGCATTCTGGTGTCCATTGGATGTTGTTTTTTCCCTCATTTTGTTGGGATGGGTCCTAGAACCGGGTAGCTCAGCGAGTGCAACTACTTCAGCAAGCACTCCTTCAGCTTGTTTGCCATTCTTAGAAGTGTCTGAATTTGTGAAAGCTCAACGGTAGATCCTGGCCAGTCCGAATCTTCACTACTGGGTGTGCTGCAGTCCGAACCAACCTTTCGACTCCGCAGGCCACACACATTGCAGGTCCGGAGTGGGGGCCCCCGGGGGTCGGGTCCGCTGTGGAAAGAACCCCTGTCCGACGACGTCAGGTGGAGGTGCTTCTGGCCTTTGGAGCGACGTTGCGGGGCCCAGCGTTGGGAGAGCGGGAGTCCAGACGTTGGGGAACCACAGGCACGAAATTGGAGCGCGTGAGGGTTCATGCGGCCCATGTTTTTGGTGTTTCGTTTTCTATTTTTTTTCAATTTTAAATCGGAGGGGTATTTATTTTTGGATTTTTTTTGTTTCTTTTTTGGATTTTTTTTTGTTTTTCGTGGCTTCTGGCTTCTGGCTTCTGTGGCTTCTGGCTTTTGTGGCTTTTGGCTTCTGTGGCTTCTGTATTTGTCTATACCTATCTATTTATCTATCTTTCTTTCTTTCTTTTGGCAGCTGTTCTCCTTTCTCTTTTTGTATTTGCTTTTCCTGTTGTTTTCGTTGCAGAGACGAAAC